AGTTCAGCTGTAGTATTCTGATTTGTACAATAAAAAAAAAAAAATGAAAGCAGATACTGAGTAACTCCAGTAAAAAAGAGCAATTACAGAGCGGGGCACTCGCACTGCAGGCTGAACCATGTACCAACAGCCTTTAAAACCACTCAGCTTCATCCTTTCTGGGGACAGCTATGAAACAAAAGTATCGGCAGTAACAACTGATTATTAACTTGTCTTAACTGAGTGCCAACAGCAGCAGGCAGAAAAGGCCATTGGTCTTTTTCTAGACCAAATCCATCAGCCCCACTCTTCAAAGAATAAGTTAGAGAAACAAAAAAAAAAAAAAATAAATTAATTTGATACCACATTTAGAATTAATGTTGAAGTTCAGATTTACAAGACTCCCACAGTACTCTGTTCTGCAGGTCAGTTGCATTCTAGCTCTGCACAAGGTTTACATGCTTAGAACAGCACATCTAGCAATGTCTTGTATTATGCTCTTCATCATCTAAATTTGTGCACACTTGAGAAAGTCCTTAATTAAAACGCTCAAAAGGCCCTTATGTTTCACATTCCTTATAGCTAGACCAGCATGTCATCTCATTCTCCGTATGTTGTTAAAATAAAAAAGAAACCCAGTGCACAGAGAGCCCTGATTTTCCTCTGCTATGCAGTTCCACTGATTCAGCACAGATACTCTCATTGAGACCTACTTAAGGGCCTGACTGAGAGTAGAACTGAATAGGCTATTTTCACTGATAGCAAAGGGCGTTAAATCCAATCTTCATCCATGACACAGAATGATCTAGGTCAGTTAGTGAACTGAGCTTATTGAAATAATGTTGTTTTATAACACTGACAGATGATAAACAGATATCTAAGTGCAAGAACCAGTGACCATGTCTGTACAGCAAGGACAGCCCTGATGAAGAGCTCAGGCAGAGCAGAAGGGAGATGCAACTCAAAGAGAGTTCCAACAGGATCCTTAGAAAAACAAGTGTGCCTGCAGTTTATACAGCTGAATGAGGGGCAAACTAGCAGCACAAAAGTGATTTTAGTTGTGCGGATAACCACTCATGAGACTGACATTGAAGTATTCCAAGTAATTCAGGCTGGGAGGAAGAGGCAGAATAATAGGAAAGAAGGATGTGTAAAGGAGGATGCTGAAAATTGGAGGAAGAAAAGAAAAAAGTCACACACACACACGTTAAAAAAAAAAAAATTCTTTAGACTGAAGGAACATACAGAATAAAAAACAATTATTCATTCAAGCTACCAAAATAAAATTGTGCAGCAGCTCAACAATAGGCTAACTGACAGTAGGAGGTCTTCACTGGTGTTTGCTGTGTTTTTCCAAAGGCAGAAGCCAGCTAAATTCAAAGAAAAATAAAGTGCAAAATGAGGAAGGGGAAACCAGAGAAGGCAGGAATTTGGAATCAGGGAAGCTGGAAATAGTGGGCTACTGCATTGTGCTGTCTGTAGATCAAGTTACTGGGATTAATACACTGGTAACTAAGCAACATGTTAGGGGTCTGCAGTACACTATATATTTATACACACATACAGCACAAAAGACACAAAAACTATTTTAACAAAAACTTAGCACACTGTTGCCTATTAGCTCTATTCTAGTACACTGACAATAAACACAATACACATTCAAATTACAATACAATAAACATTCAAATTAGCAGGCAAATTCAAGGCAGGAAAGATCTGCATTCATATAGACTATAGACGTTCATATATTTATAGTTCATATAAACTCAGTAGAAAGAAAATTGCTATGATTTTTATGAAGTCAGCTGTAATACAATGGATCTTTGCTCTGCATAAGCAAAACAACACACAGCAGGTACTGTGCTAAGCCACCCATACTGGTGTCATGGCAGACAGGTTACAGGGGGTAGGAACAACAAATGCTGAGATGATATATATGTGGAAAATCCAAAATCTGTGCTGTACGAACAGATTGCAAAAGAAAGTGGACAAGGCTCCATCACAACACAGCAGTTGCTGCTTCCATACTTAGTATCACATGCATCTCTCACTGTGCTTTAGTTCTTTGTACTGGATTTCAACTCCAAGAGCAAGCCATTGGTGGGAAAAGAGAGGGAAAGAAATTAGAGCTTTTCTCTCTGAAGGAATGAGAATGGAAATTGCCCTTCGCAGAAGGTATGAATTCCTGTTCACTACTAGATTTCTTTTTAGGTTGATCCACCCGGTTCCACTGTCACGCATTGCCCACCTTCTGCTGACATCTCCCAAATTCACATGAGTTCAGCAGCGAAGCAATACAGTGAATCTCAGAGACCTCGGATGCTAGCTGGCAGGTGTCATTTGACAGAGGAGATCCGAGGAGGTGGCAAACTTCTCTTTTACAGTAGCCAAGGGTTACAGCACTCTTTCCAGAACTAGTCTGGGTTTTAGTTCCATCTAAAGGAAACTGAGCTTGTTGTTCTCATTTTGCAAGTGAGTGTCAGCAAACCAAATGCTATATTTGGTTTATATATTTATTTATATATTTATATATTGGCTATATATTTAAATACAGCAAATAAGTGAGTGTGCGCATAAGTACATTGCCTCTGGAGAAGAAGAGCTACATTCTAGTCTTTACAAAGTACTGATGTCCTTCTTAACAAGTCACTATAATATTTATTTTTATAAATATTTATATTTATTTTAACTATTATATTGCTTCTTAACAAGCAATATAAAGACACACAGGACCTTTGGGAGTACATGATGTTAAAATGGCACTAACTTGCAAAGCTGCAGAACTCAAATTGGTCTTCCGCAGTAATTACATGAAGTGGCAACAAAAGCACACATGCTGGCTGCTGGTGAGAAAGCACAGGGACTCTTTGGAAGCATACAGGGAGGCTGTGACTCACATGACAGTTTGGAGCAGAGAAGGAAATAATGCAGAACTGCAGCCTATGAGATACGACAAAGATGGGAGAGAAAAGCAAAGCAAACTCCCAGTGGCCGTCACATTAAATTAAAAAAACACATTTAAGTATAACTCATTTTGCCCTCTTAGGCTGGGCTCTTGAAGATGCACTGTAGCAGAAATTTATTTTCCTTGCACATTGGTATGTATACATTTAGTTCCACGTGCATCTAGTTGCTTGCAGTTTTGTTATATTTTATTTCCCATCTGTTGGACACTCCAGTCTTGGCGTTATAACCATATAATCATTTGAACAATATTTTTACTTCCACACATATATATACACACTGGTTCTTGAACAGAAATAGCCCTGCAGAGGACTGTCTGGATTCAGTTGCCTAAGGATAAGCACACGCAGCCCTATGAAAAGACTGTTATTATCTAAAACGTCTGCATGTAGCTGGCAAATATGACATAGGACCTGCAGCTTTCTGCCACAGTAGATGAGGCAAAAACCCTAGCAAGGAACCTAAATGGCAATGGATGTCTATGCTTCGGTAAATGAACTTCATGTTTCACATGAGGCTTACATGCCTACAAGGGCCAAAAAAGCCACCGAAACAGTCATGGGTTACAAGTTACTTGATGTACTCTTCTTTTCTACAGTTCATTTAGCACCAAGCAGTTCCATGGGAAAATCAAGAAAAATGGCGTGTAGGTAGAACATCACAATGAAAAGGAGGTAACATAAATATGCAAGCAGCAAGGCAGCCAATAAATATAGGGATAGTGGATCTAATAGCTTAAAGCTGAGAAGTGAGAAAACAGAAGTATCGTGGAAGGATACTATTACCAGGTAACCTACCCCTGTGATTTCACTAAAGAAATTCCTAGTTAAATACTTGGTACAACACAGAAGTGACCCATAATCAACATCTAAAATGTAAGATATTCTTTTAACCATTATTCTGACATAAACTGTAAAGTTATATTCCAAAATCAGCTTTGATGCTATTCTGTGCATCAACACTGTCAAGGCAATATTGCTGAACTGTCACACTTCAAAGTGAACACATGGAGGTTTTTCTAGATTTTAGCTTGATGAGCCAATGATAAGGCAAGCCTTTCCCAAAGGCAGAACTTCACAGGCTCACTGTGCCTTTAAAGGGCCAAAACAGAATAGTGAAGTGATCTATTAGATCAGTGAAACTGCAGTCTCATCTAGCAAAACTCCTCATGCCTGAAGAAAAAAACAAATGGTTTGGAAGCACAACGCTTTCCGAAGATGCGCTTTATGTGGAGCACAGCCAACACATCACTTTATTCAGGATGCACCAGTGCCACACTTCTCCAACATTCAGAAAACAATACAATCTCCAATATTAATTGTTTTGAATGTCCTTGAAAATAAGAATTCAGCATAGGTTGGCTGTTTGTCTTTCCAAAAGGGTTGCTTCGCTACAATACAAACATGCGGAAATCCCCTGCCCTACACAGTTTTAACTTACACATTTCTACATTACGATTAAGAAGATCACATCTCACATTTGTTCCTCTGCACACTCTCCATGTGTATTGCCCAACCAGAATAATTTGTGCACGATCACTGCACACTGCAGACCGACAGTGCACGGTAAGACCCAACATGCAGTTAAGACAACAGTAGAAGCTACAGCAGAGTTGACAGTAGCATCACTGAAGAGGAAGAGAGTCTCAGAAAGAACAGGGGCCACCTGCACTGCTCAAACACTAGGTAGGCTGCATTTCTCAACTCCATTCTTGTTCTTGTAACTCAAGGCATGACATACCGTGGTGCATCAGTTATCTTTACTGCATGGCAACATACAGTACTTCTGTTTATCTATCTTTTTTTAATGAGATTATAATCTCTTTGGTCAGAAGCACTCATTATGCGCATATGTAAGCAGTGTGTCAGCGTCAATACCTTCCCAGTTTCAATTGGCTTTCCCGCATTAATAAAAGTCCCATCTTAATCAATGGGACCTTTGTTGCCCGTTTCAGCAAGGAAGGGACGGGTCTGAATGGGCCGTAGGGACAAAGCGCACCAAAAAAGCCTGTGGTTAGTGCTATGGGGCAACTGTATTTGTGTCGGCGTTAAACATACCGCAAGGCGCGTGGAGACGCTCAGCCTTCACGGAGGCTGCCTCCCTTGCTCATTTTCAATTCTGCATTTAAAGCAAAACGACAAATGCTGTGAAAAGTTTATCTCGTCCCTACGTGCAACTCACCTCAATCAACAACATTAAATAACTAAATAAATAAGAAACAACAAATCAAACGGAAAGAAAAAAAAAAAAAAAAAAGCCACGATGATAAGTCAAAGCACAAAGCCTGACCCCCACCCGATCGCGCAGGGTCGGGCCGCACAGCGGGCACAGCCCAATGTTAACAACCGCGGGTTGCTCGGGCAGCAAGCAAGCGCGTCTGTTCCTTAACTACAACCGGCACCTGCTCGCCAAAGGCCCCGCGCAGCGTTAGGAGAGCGGAGGGAAAAAGAGAGAAGCGCGGCGAAAAAGACGCCGGGCCGAGACGGACGCGCTCGGCCTCCCAGCGCAGCCCCTGCCGGGCCGGCTCCGCTCGGGCCCCGCCGCGGGCCGCACCTGCCCGGCCGCACTCACCCGCCGGTGCCGCCGCTGGGGTGGTAGGCGGTGAGCACCACGCCGCGGGAGCCGGACAGCCAGCTCATGGTGCGTGCCGCCGCATCCCTTCCACGGACGCCGAGACGGAGCGAGGCGGCCCGGCCGCGGCTCGGCGCGGCACAGCCTCCCGCCGGAGCGCAGCGCAGCGGGGCAGGGTCGGTGGCTGCAGCGCGGCTCTCCGGGACCGCGCCCCTCCCGCTCCTCCTCCTCCCGCCGCCGCCTCGGGAACCGGGTGCCCGGCAGCACCAGCGGGAGGGTCACGGCGGCCGCTTCCGGCTGCGGAGCTCTGCGGCTGCCCGCGGCCCGCTCCTGCCGCCTCGCGCCGGCCGCGGGCTGCAGCTGGCGTAGAAGCACTCGAAGGAGGCAGTCAAACGTTACCGCGCTTTGAGCGCCGCGTAACGGGGCGGAGCCGTCGCTGCTGCCCGCGGACGGGGCTTGGGAATGGCTTTGATAATAAAAACTGGGGTTGTTCTCAGTTTCTAGTGCTACTGTGCACGCTGCATGTAAAAATGAATAGCAGCAGATCATTCCACGCTTGTTTTCACTTCTACGTGAAACGGATTTTATTTAAATTATAATCTAGCATTATAAAAATTCCAGCGAGCAGCAGGGTCAGACGAGGATACCGGGAACCGGGCAGCCTCTTCACTGCCGTATCCTTCCCCAGCTTCTGACTGCAGCCACTTCTGCCACAAGGAAATGGTTTGGCTTCAATGTTAACATAACTATTGCATTTCTTTTTCCTTCTCAAAGTAAACATATATATATATATATATATAACATATATATATATATATATATAATGCAACAGTTTCACTTGCAATGAAACATCTGAAAAATTCAGCACTGAGTGTCCTGGCACATCCCAAGGTCTATATCCTCATTTATCTGAATGGCTGCACCCTTAAATAGGAGCACAGAGATTCCAGCCTGTGCTCTAAGGAACAGCTGAAGGAACTGGGATTGTTCAGTCTGGAGGAGGCTCAGGGGAGATCTTATTGCTCTCTACAACTACCTGAAGGGAGGTCGCACTGAAGTGGGTATTGGCCTCTCTTCCCAGGTAATAGTGGTAGGACAAGAGATTATGTCTTTAAGTTGTGGCAGGAGAAGTTTAGGTTGGGTATTAGGAAAAAATTATTCTCAGAAAGAGTAGCGATGCATTTGAAACAGGCTGCCCAGGGAGATAGTGGAGCCACTGTCCCTGTAGGTCTTAAAGAAACATCTACATGTGTCATTTAACAACATGGTTAGTGCACATGGCATTGATGTGTTGACAGTTGGACTCAATGTTAGAAGTCTTTTGCAACTTTGATGATTCTACGATTCAGTGGAGCACTGCTCCCCATGGTCAACTGACCAGAATTGCCCTCAGGCAGAGCAAGGTCAACGCGTCCTTCAGAACCCACCATGCATTCAGAGCTGGGAGCTATTGGCTTTGCAGAGTTCATGGGTGATGTCTGGGCATAACTGGACTTTGTCATTGACTTAAGCAGATAACTTTATCCAGGTTTCTTCTTAACGAAGGGTGGCCTTGTATGAAACACAAAGTGGGCTGTCCTTTACTGCTTTGAAAAGGGTCATATCACCATGAAATTTCAAGCCATGGCTGAGGGACCCATTCCCTTCCTCCACCACTGAAGTTCAAGTTCAGCCTGTGCCTTAAGTAAGTGAAAACAACTGGAGGCAAAGGTGTGTTTAGCAAAGCCTGGCTCTTCCATGTCTTATGGAGACTGCTTTATCTGTAAGCAACTTGCTAGGTTTTTTGGACTTTTTGTACACAAATTCACTTTTTTTTTTTTCTAATTTTGGGACCGTGGCAGGATCCCCTTATATCCCAGTGCACAGCTACAGTGCATCATCTCTCAGGCCATGTCTGAAAAGCAGAAATCTATTCCTCACACACAAACACATGCAACACTCAAATGTTTGCACTGATAATTTTAGAAGTACTTCAGCATGAGATGAGAAAGCAACCTATTAATATATGTCACTACACCTATTTACTGTTGCCTTTGGCTCTTAAATGCATGTGTTTAACTGTTGAACAGCTTATGCAGAATTATTTTTTTAAGGACTCAACCTTTTTCTTTTAAATTGAAACAAGAAAACTAAAAATGTAAATTAAATGAAATTGCCTTAGGACCTGGCAGTTTCTAAAATTTTCAGCTAACTGGCTGCATGCCACATACTGTACTTGATTGTAAAACTACCTTCAAAGAAGAGATTAAAGAAGAAAGAAAGAAAGAAAAGTGAAATATCTAAAGCATTCTGTGCTTAACGAGTGCTTGCCAAAGTGCTATGCCAAACAGAATATATATTAGGTGCCATAAGAGCAAAAATATAAAGTGCTTTTTTCTTTGATAAGCATCTTAAAACACATCATAATTAGGGCACAACACACGGTATGCCCTCTGTAAAGAAAGAATGCAGAAGCACAGTGTAGCCAGTGTGGTGTCAGAAGGCACTGGTCAAAGAAAACTTTGCTGCAAATGAAAAGTGGGAGAAGACTTATATGCTGCTAAGTGACAGATGAAGAATGGCAAAATCTAGAATGAGCTTATACTTATCAACTGGAGAGTAAGCAAGTCTTTTTAAGCATATCACAATGCTGATGGTAAAAAGAAAGGACATAGAAATAAAGAAATTCTGTTAATAAGTGAGAATAGAAATTAAATTACTGATAACTCAGAAACACCAGAGATACTAATTGCCTTCTTCAATCTGCCTTTAGCATGACGCACTTCAAATGTGCTGAGCATGAAATAGTTCCTGCAGATTTAGGAGCTTAGTTCTAGGCACACTTTTTCCTTTACTCTATCAGACAGCTTGATAGGTTCAGACTCCTTCCTGCTATGACAACAGAACTCCAGTCCAGTTTATTTCTCCTTGCAGAAATGATTCTGGAGGCAGCTAGATAACATAGACCTATAGATGTTTTATTTCCGTACACCGATAGGAATATCCTCACACTTTCACTAGTCTGTCCTTTGCCTAAAAAAAAACTTACAGTAATTACTGAGTTTGTAGTTACTAGTCTTGTTCTTAACATGGTATGAGTATAGTAATGCGAAAAGTAAGGTTTCTTATTATCAGCTAGACAAGAAGGTACTGTCTGAGGCACATAACTCTACGTGGTAGAAAAAAGATATCGCTGAGGGCGGTAACTACTAATCATATTGTCTAGCTACTGAACCCAAGACTCCTTCAAAGAGTTCAAGTATTCAGATTAAGATGTCAGGCAGTGTCCTTCCACTTAATGTAATTAAAAGCCAGAGCCAAGTAGATCACACAGGAAACATATGCTTTCGGGTTTTTTTTATAAAGCAATTACTGAAACGAAAATGTCTCAGAAAATGTCTAATTTGTCGCTGTTTTCACAGAATCTCAAGATGTCTTAGGTTGGAAGGAACCTTAAAGTCCACACAGTCCCAGTGTGCCATGGGCAGGGATGCTCCCCATCATCTCAGGCTGCCCAGTACCCATTCAACCCGGCCTTGAGCACCTCCAGAGATGAGGCACTACAGTTTCTCTGTGAAGCCTGTGCCAGTGCCTCACCACCCTCCAAATAATTTCCTCCTAATAACTAATCCAAATCTCCGTTTTTTCCATTTAAAACCAGTACCCCTTGTACACCACTACCCATCTAAAAGGTCAGTCTCCCTCCTGATTATAATTTCCTATCAAGCACTGGAAGGAATTGATATGCATTTGTTTAACATCTGCTTTTGAATTCTCACTGCAAAGCACTTTTTTTCCCCTTTTTTTCCCCTCAAAAAACAAAAAAACAACACTGACTTCTTTTTATTTCCAGGCGATGGTTGGTTTTTCACATTGATATTTCTGATGATATACCAGTTATAAGCAGGTGGAAATGCAATCTATTGAGAAGCACTGGCTTGAGGAAATTGTAGATGATAACCTTACAATTTCAAATTCACGAACCGACTTCAATGGCCCTACCTCAGTAGGCTTATTCCCACCGAGTTCTAGAGTTCTTCTTGGAAGCAATACCAGAGTGTTCAGACAACAAATGCAGGGCTGCAGTGAATGGACAACTGTGCTTCAGGACTTGCAAAATAGATTTGCAATGACCTGGTGCAGAACACAATGCTAATCCTTTGCATAACCTACTGTAAAATTTGTTCAGATGGATTTTAAGCCAAACTGAAAAATCCTCAGCCAGCTCACTGCATTTCCATTGTCCAAATTATGCTTTCAGGGCTCCAGCCAGCAGCCAGAGATTGCAAGATAACAAAAGAACAAAGTTTTTTGTACACTGTAAGATGACGTCAAACACTTGCTAAGCTTCATACTTGATGTTGTACTCCACTACATGAAGACCCACATGTTTGAGTAGCATTCTGCAGCCATTAATGAATTATGTTAGCAGCAGTATGGGAAAGAACATATAGTATAGGAATGAAGATTACATGTGCAGGGTATGATTTCTGCTGAGCTCTTGATGACTACATCCATGCAAGTGATTTTAGGCTCTGCTCACAGGCTATCAAACATGTACTATTAGCTGGTAAAATCATCTGGTTTATATTATCCATTCCCTTCAGAACATAAAGATGAATCATGCTCTAGAACTGTCTGCTCCTTTCCATGGACTAGGAAGATAAACTAGATTATGTGGGTCACATTCAGATATCCACATCTGCCAGATAAGATCTATCTTTAATTCTGTTATGCTGCCTGTGAAAATACATAACATGCAACGTTCAGTTGAAATGTGCACCATATGGCAAATAAAATGTGGAGCGTTCAGTACTTTGGAATGTATGGTACTAGTAAGTAGGAGGTGTTTTAGATCAGCTTAGTTACCCCTGAATACCAAAGATAGGGACTAAGTCATACACTTGTACGCTGAAAGCAAACTTGCATACAGAAAGCTGATAATATTCTTGTTAGCCAGCACATAACAGACTTTTCTTACAGCTTGATCCTTCAGGCTATTGTGCACAGATCCTGAATTCAAATTTTAATAGGATTTTTTTATGGACAAATATGTCCATTACTACCAGAACACTGCTCAATAAATGGAGGACTTATTC